AAGTGTTAACACTGCAAGGACCTTTGTCTGAATGTGTATAAAGGATCTGTAAAACGTGTGTAAGACAGAGTTTTTGTACTAAGGTGCAAAGCTCTCCTTTCTTCTGCAGAATAAAGCAACTCTTCCTTATCTCTGTCTGGCTGTTATTGGCTCTCAGCTAGGTGGACCCGATATTTCGGTAACAGCAGGAAGCCTACTAAACAACCAGTAGACCCACTGGATGATCAAGATGCTAAAGGAGCACTCAAGGACAATAAGACCATTGCGGAGAAACTAAATGAATTCTTTGCATCGGTCTTCGTGGCTGAGGATGTGAGGGAAATTCCCAAACTTGAGCCATTCTTTTTAGGTGACAAATCTGAGGAACTGTCCCAGATTGAGGTGTCAATAGAGGAGGTTTTGAACAAATTGATGAATTTAACAGTAATAAGTCACCAGGACCAGATGGTATTCACCCAAGAATTCTGAAGGAACTCAAATGTGAAATTGCAGGACTACCAACTGTAGTCTGTAACCTATCATTTAAATCAGCTTGTGTACCAGATGACCGGAGGATAGCTAATGTGATGCCAATTTTTAAAAAGGGCTCCAGAGGTGACCATGGCAATTAGAGGCCGGTAAGCCTGACTTCAGTACCGGGCAATCTGGCTGAAACTATAGAAAAGAACAAAATTGCCAGATACATAAATGAATATAATTTGTTGGGGACGAGTCAACACGGTTTTTGTAAAGGGAAATCATGCCTCACCAATCTACTAGAATTCTTTGAGGGTGTCAATAAGCATGTGGATAAAGGGGATTCAGTGGAAATAGTATATTTAGATTTTCAGAAAGCTTTGACAAGGTCCCTCACCGAAGGCTCTTAAGCAAAGTAAGTAGTCGTGAAGTAAGAGGGAAGGTCCTCTCACGGATTGGTAACTGGATAAAAGATAGGAAACAAAGGATGGGAATAAATGGTCAGTTTTCAGAATGGAGAGAGGTAAATAGTGGTGTCCCCTAGAGGTTTGTACTGGGTATAGTCCTATTCAACATATTTATAAATGATCTGGAAAAGGGGGTAAACAGTGAGGTGGCAAAATTTGCAGATGGTACAAAGCTACTCAAGATAGTTAAGTCCCTGGCAGACTGCAAAGAGCTACAAAAGTATGTCTCCAAACTGGGTGACTGGGCAACAAAATGGGAGATGAAATTAAATGTTGATAAATGCAAAGTAATGCACATTGGAAAACAAAATCCCAACTATACATATAAAATGATGGGGTCTAAATTAGCTGTTACCACTCAAGAAAGAGATCTTGGAGTCATTGTGGATAGTTCTCTGAAAACATCCACTCAATGTGCAGCGCAGTCAAAAAAGCGTACAGAATGTTGGGAATCATTAAGAAAGGGATAGATAATAAAACAGAAAATATCATACTGCCTCTATATAAATCCATGGTACACCTACATCTTGAATACTGTGTGCAGATGTGGTCGCCCCATCTCATAAAAATATATTGGAGTTGGAAAAGGTTCAGAAAAGGGCAACAAAAATTAATAGGTGTATGGAACGGCTGCCATATGAGGAGAGATTAATAAGATTTTCAGTGTGGAAAAGGGACGACTAAGGGGAGATATGATAGAGATCTATAAAATCATGACTGATGTGGAGAAAGTAAATAAGGAAGTATTATTTACTCCTTCTCATAACACAAGAACTAGGGGTTATCAAATGAAATGAATAGGCAGCAGGTTCAAAACCAACAAAAGGAAGTATTTTTTCACACAACGCACAGTCAACCTGTGGAACTCCTTACCAGAGGATGTTGTAAAGGTCAAGACTATAACAGGGTTCAAAAAAGAACTAAATAAATTCATTGAGGATAGATCGGTCAATGGCTAATATCCAGAATAGACAGGGATGGTGTCTCCAGCCTCTGTTTGCCAGAAACTGGGAATGGGCAACAGGGGATGGATCACTTGATGATTATCTGTTCTGTTCATTCCCTCTGGGGCACCTGGCATTGGCCACTGTGAGAAGACAGAATACTGGGCTAGATAGACCTTTGGTTTGATCCAGTATGGCCGTTCTTATGTTCCTATGTTCTTATCAATATGAAAATTAAGGTTGAGAGATTATTACTTCTATTCAATCTCCTTTTAAGGAGGTCAGACTAGAGGATCCGGTCATTCCTTCTTGACTTAAACTCTGTGACTCTATGACTCGATTGTTTATCAATTTCTCACATTAGCTTCTGCTGTGAAATTCATCCAGTTTAGTCTTTCCCCACATTTATTAAAGTTACATTACAAAACTACGGCCTATACACACCAAAAAGGATGATAGCAATAATAGAAAAGCAAGTAAACAAAAGATTTCATATTGCAACAATTTAAAAAGTTAAATTTGAAACAAACACCTCCACCACAATTAAACAAACTCCCACATGAGAATCCAAACTGGTATAAAAACTTTCTTGTGAGAGGAAGGATAATGACACTTACTTATTTCTTTATCTCGTTTGTCTAAAAAATAAAAGAGAAATAAACGTATATTTTGTTTGTCATTTCCATTTTCTTATGTTTTAGTTCTATTTTTCATCAATATGACAGTGAAGGCGGAGAGAAATCAACCTCATCTTCAGGATGTCAGACAAGAGACAGACCAGTGGTCTCTTCTGGTCTTAAACTCTGTGACTCTATTGCTTATCGGTATTTCAAATTAAATTTTGGTGGGAAATCTATCCAATTTAGTGTTTCCCCACATTTTATCAAGTTACTGTAATCCCCAACCAAAAAAATATAATGAAAAAAACAAACACACAAACAAACCAAAACAGGTTAAATATTATACCAGCATTTAAAAAGTTAAATTGAAAAGCAAACGCCTCCACAGGAATTAAACAAACTCCCATATCAGGATCCAATTTCATACAAAACAGAAATGTTGTCCGAGGAAGGGTAATGACACTTACCAATTTCTATATCTCGTTTGCCTAAAAATTAAATGGAAATACACATATTGTTTGTTGTTTCCCTTTTCTTATGTTTTATTTCTCATTATCATCAATATGATAATTAAGGCTTAGAAACTATTTCTATTCAGTTTCTTCTTAAGGAGGTCAGACTGGTGATCTGGTCATCCCTTCCGGATGTAAACTCTGTGGTTCTATTAGAATCATAGAATCATAGGACTGAAAGTCTAATCCCCTGCACTCGTGGCAGGACTACGTATTATCTAGACCACCCCTGACAGGTGTTTGTCTAACCTACTCTTAAAAATCTCCAGTGATGGAGAGTCTACATCTTCCCTAGGCAATTTATTCCATTGCTTAACTACCCTGCCTGTTAGGAAGTTTTTCCTAATGGCCAACCTAAACCACCCCTGCTGCAATTTAAGCCCATTGCTTCTTGTCCTACCCTCAGAGGTTA